TGTTCACCAGAACCTGGCACTTCAGGGGAATCTCCTGTTTGTGTTGCTTGTGTTGTGTCTGAGTTGCTTTTTCTTTCAGTCCAGACATCTTCATTGACTCTGTATCTGTTGTGGGCTTTGCTTGCTCTCTGTGGTGTTAGTGAGACACAGGCTGCAAGCTCTGAGAAGACATGACTGCAGGAGGGCTTGGGGGTAGGGCAGTGGTGTTAGCAAAAGGTGTCCTGGGCTAAGGGCTGAGGTCAGCATGCTTGGAGTGTGCCAGTCCTCAGCAGAACACATGGGCAAGGCACACCGCTAGCAGGTTAGGTAGCAAGTGTCTGTGCAGTGCTGCCCACAGGTGGCCCTGTGTTAATGCTGGGCAGCAGGGGAGGAAAATGGTGCCTGCCATCTCCTTTGTTCCCAGAGAAGTCCCCTAACACACTCAAAATCAGTATAAACATATCTTCCTCCTGTTTGTCGCAGGCACTATACAAACTGTCGTTTCTATGTTGCCTCTCCATGGGTTGCTGTCTCTTTAAAAGTGGGATCCAGCTATCACTCACTCTCCCATCTTGCCCAGTGCTGAGTCAGCTGACTTTTTAAGCTCCAGACTCCAAATCCTGCTGTTTATACAAACTCATGGAATTCAGCTCCTCTGGTTTTCAAAGCCATATGTTATGGGGATTTGTCTTCTGGTTCGGGCTCCCTAGTGTGAGACTGTTTTCTTTCCCCTCTCTACACCCGTAGCTCCCTCCCTCCTGTAGGCAGTTCCCAACCACTGTTTCTACCCTTCGTAACCTCTCAGATGCAGCTTTTTTTTTCTTTAAAGAGTTCATTTATTTATTTGAAAGAGAAAAAGAGAGAGGGAAAGCACAGAGGGAGAATGAGAGGAAGAAGCAAACTCCCCACTGAGCAGAGAGCCCGACATGGCACTCGATCCCAGGACCCTGAGATCATAACCTGAGCTGAAGGCAGACACTTAACTGACTGAGCCACCCAGGCAACCCTCTCAGATGCAGCTTCTTTACATTTAGTTGTGAAGTTTGTTCTGCCCATCTTTGGATTGCTCTCTAGTGTATTTACACGGATGTGAGTGATATCTAGTTGTCAACATGGGAGGGGGTGAACTTAGGGTCCGCCTACTCCACCATCTTCCCAAGCTTCCCAACAATGCAGGTATTTTAAAATCAAATAAACCAAGTAAAATACAGCATAACACTTTTATGATGTATCCTTTTAACTTAAGTTACCACTTTTTAAAGATATTACACACCTTAAAGTTTTTTCAAACACAAAAGCAGGTGAAATATTTACGTGGGTCTACTAGTTGATCAAAAAATTCTATTTTTTTTCTAAATTCTACCAATAGTTACAATTGAATGAGGTTCTCCTTTTTCAGTATAAAGTTATATCTCATGTCACTGTGAGTCATAAAATAGCTGCAATGCAATATTAGGTCATATAAAGATATTCAGGGAAATGGAGGAGACTAAAGACTGAGAATCATAAAATGTTCAAGATTCCATGCATTCTCACATAATTTCATTAGAAAACCTTAAATTCAATGTTATTCTAATCTAGTTATTTCTCTTCTGAAAAACCTAATATCTGGGAGAAGACACTATTCTTATCTCATCAAAACTGGAGAATTTTTCCCCAGACAATGCGAAAGAAAAGAAAGAAAGAAAAGAAAAGAAAAAAGAGTTGCTACCATTAGATATCATTCAATCAGTATCCTTTACTAGTTTTCGTTTTTGCTGTTTGTACCTTCACTATGAGTCATTGCTCTTATAAAGAATAACTAAGCTTTCCTAAGAGAACTCTACCTGCTGAACTTTCAGAAAATACCAAAGAATGCAGACAAAAACAAGGGATCAGTAATACTACACTAAGGTTCTGGAACATGGGACCTATGACAAATAGAATAAGAAAATGTAAACACTCAGAAAAGAGAGGTGAAAAAAGCTATTACTATCAACAACTGTATCCAATCTCATTCGGACAAACTTGGTAAAATATCTAGCTTATTAAATCATAAAGGGCATGTAATGAGATTGTCACAAGGTGGCAGCTGTGCAGTCTCAGTAGCTGTTATTCCAAAAGAATTTGGTTCTTAATCATGGGTGTGCATGGAGAGTTCAAGGTCTGTACTATTGTTCTTTATAAACAAGACAAAAACTATGTTAGAACAGATATAATCATCTCTCTCACACTGTTCAGAAAACTATTTCTCTTTTGGCCAGGACTGACCATCTCAGATTAGAAGTCACTTCCTTGGAGAAACTGTCCCTGCCCAAGCAACAGTGAGTTAGCAATCCTTCTTTTGTGCTATCAAGACCCAATGAGTCCCCAGTAGTAGAAGCACCTTATTAGTAGTTTGCATCCCCCATTAAACTGTGGGGTCTGTGAGACTCTACACATCTTTTGCTATTACACCCCAGGGACTAGTATAGTGTCTGGCACATAGTAAAAATTTAATTAATACATACTGAATGATCAAATATAGTAATAATGAGCATTTTCTGAACATTTACTATATGACAGGACAGTAAAGAGAATTAAATCATTTAATCCTCACAGCAACACTATGAAGGAGGTGCCATCATTTCCGTGAGAGTTAGCATGAAAAAGCATTTGACCACATTCAAAAACAGTAATTGGACCAAAAAAACTGTCTGACTCTAAAGCCTGGGCTCTTAATCACCAAGCTGTCTATACACTTCTAACTATGTTGATGCAGGTTTGGTATACCATAAGGCTCCTGAACTGGTTCCCAGCCTTTGACTCTATCCTTGACTCTTTCTCTCTATCTGTTCTCATAACTTCTACTAAATTAGCAAGAATTAATAACCATTTTTTCCAGAATATTTTCCTATAATACAGAGTAAATTCTAAGTGCAAATAGTTCAATCCAGCCCCTTATTTTGAGTGGATTTGACGAAGAGACACAAAAATATCAGATACATTTTGAGTTTCTGTAAGGATTCTGGGAGCCTATGGAGAGACACGGGAAAAGGCAAAGTCTTCTCTTTAGAAAAACCAACTTTTGGTTTTGTTATAAACTTTTGACATAACATAGAATCTTTACAGTCAATGCAACAACAAAAAGTTATTTTCTGAAATGTTTCATGATCTTTCAATGAAAAATTACCACTGTGTATTATGACTTAGTTACTGTTACCACAGAGTTTCCACAACCAAAGATACTCTTATTCACACAGGGGACTCAATTTGTCCCCTCCCAAACTAGCTTCCTTACACGCCATCTGATTTTCTGTTAATAGCACCTTTTCTCATGTACTTAGATTTTCAAAACTTGGCTCATAGCAAGGATTGGAGGGAAAGAGGAAGAAGGAAGGTATCAATCAGTAGGTCTTCCTTTCCTTCGACACCAGTCTCAACTTTGCCTCTTTCTCTTTAATCCTCCAGTCGCCCAAATCCCAGTCCTTATCACTTCATCTCTCTTCCTTCTGATTCTCTCTTTCACAATGTCTGTCCCAAATACTGTGGCCAGACTAATCCTTCTGAAACAATGTCAACTACCCTGCTCAAAACCCTTTAGTGGCTCTCTACTGCCCATCTTATCAAATTCAAATTTGTCCTCTTTTTTTTTCTGTTTAGGTCTTCCATAATCTGGCCCTGCTCTGACCATCATTTAAAAAAATCAAAAAACCCCACAAAACCTTATGATCCCTAAAATAAGCTTTTCATACCAATTAAGTTGATTTTCCCACTCTTACCTCATATTTCATGTTTATAATTTTCATACTTTTGCTAACATTATTCACTTCTACGCAGAAGGTTCCTCCTCTTCCCTTCTAGTTCTCTAAAGCTATCCTTCAAGTGCAGTTTAAGGCTTATCCCCATAAGAATAATAATAACAGTAACAGCCAACATTTCTTGAGCACTATGTGCCAAGCACAGTTCTAAACACTTTTCAAGCATTAACTCATTTGATCCTCAAAATAACCTAAAAAGACAGTCGTATGAAATCTTCTAGCATAACGAAGCCTACCCTAATTTTTCCGTCCTATACTTATAATAAATATTCCACACCTAATCTTCACTAAGCATCTACTATATGTACTTAGGAGAATAAAAGAGGCAACATTTATAATACAAACTGGAAGAGCATTAGGTTTCAAGTAAGTATAGGCAGTCACTGTGTGACATTAAACTAGTCAAGTATTCTAAGCCTCATGTCACATGGGCATAAAATACCCATCTCAGAGAACTGCTGTGAAAATTTTCTAATCTATGTGAAAATGCTTGGTGAACTGTAAAATACAATGGAAGTGCTGCCAACCAACTTTTCTACACTATCTACTACTATCTGCCAATAACTTCGGCAAGAGATGGCATACAGGGTGAAAAGCAGATTCTAGTGACTCTAGTGAAGCTTATGATCCAAAATGTGTCTGACATGAGCCCTGTCCTAAGGAAACTCATAATGTGATACCACACAATTCAGTATTTAATTTTGCAGTAATTATTCACCTGTAGCTTTGTTTTTCCAATGCTCCTTGAAGAGAGAGTTCTTCTAATTCTTTCCTAACACCCAGTGATATGAGGCACACAATAGGTCCCAAAAACAGTTGTTGATTTTTTTTTTTTTTAAAGATTTCACTTATTCATTTGACAGAGAGATACAACGAGAGACGGAACACAAGCAGGGGGAGTGGGAGAGGGAGAAGCAGGCTTCCCGCAGAGCAGGGAGCCCAATGCGAGGCTCGATCGCAGGACCCTGGGACCATGACCTGAGCCAAAGGCAGACGCTTAACGACTGAGCCACCCAGGCGCCCCCCGAAACAGTTGTTGATTGACTGATTTTTAGGGGGAAAGAAATCCAATAAATTACTCTTTTAATAAAATATCGTAAAAGTGACTGTGACTTCTGCAATTATTTTGGGCTAGAAAACTGAGTCGATAAACATCTATGGTAATTATGTGCAATAATATTACTTTTTGAAAAAGTTAACTTGCAAATTCTCTCTTAACATAAAGGTAAATAAACTACTTACCTAAGAGCAGAGAATGTAAATCCTTTCAAACCATCTCTGCACCTGAAACAATAAAAATTTATGATAAAGTAACAATTTTTGAGATATAAAGTCGTATATTAAGTAGCTATTAAAATTTATTCTGAAACTGATTACTTTTAAAAGGTGACACTTTTAGGACAGTGATCTGAGCAGTACAAATGCAACAAACAATGAAGCAGGCCATCGTACACAGGATGATTAAAATTTCCTATGTCAAGTTAACATAATTTAAGGCTCAACTCTCTATTTGCAGGTGGAAGAGAGATTTAAGTATATCTTCTGAGGGCTCCATGTGGACTTAAAATGAAGGCTCAGAGTGGAATATTCATTTTACCCAATCCCTGGGGGAGCAATTTGTTGAGAAGAAAGGGCCACATACACCTGCTGGGTATTATGAATAGATCAATTCAAGGTCCTGACTTCTCCCTACTTATTAATTCAGTGAATGCAGAGCAATGTAGAGCTGGCAGGCACAAAAAGGCTTCAAGTTTAGTTCAACAGTTTTAACTTTTGAGTAAGCCCAATCAGAATGGATAACATAGCAAGGGGAACAGAGTGGGGGGTAAGGGGAGGGCACAGAGGCATGAGTTCAAATAATATTTATTGAGTATTTACTATTGCTGGGCATTGTTTTGGGCACTTTATATGTGTTGTCTCATTTAATTATATCACACCTCTATGAATAAGTATTTCTCTATTCTATAGCTGGGCAGAGGCCCCCTCCCCCAAAACGGGCAACTTCCAAGAGGTCACAAAATAAATAATAGTCGGAATTCAGGAAAAAAAAGTCCCTCTGACTTAAAAGCTGTGGTTTTCTCTTATACCTCCTTCTGAAACAGTGTATTCCTTTTAACTGGGGGAAGGTTCAAACTGCATGACAATTAAAAAAAGATTCTCAGATCTGCAAAAAATATTTAAACAAGATTTTAAAATGGGGACATTACTATACTAGTCTTAATGGCCTGCTTTATAAGTATGATCAAGTTACTAAAGAATTGTTGGATATCTAGTATCAGAATCCTTTGGAGAAACTATGAGATTGGTGATACAATGATGCTCAAATGTATATTAATTTTAGACACTGGATATTCTTGGATAAAAAGTACAGCCTCAAATCTAATTGGACAACTCTCAGTATACCTTGTATATGAAAGGTCACAAAGGAAATGCATAATAATATAAGAAGTCCTTCTGAACAAGTCTAAATGTAGGTATTTTTACTGGAGGACACACAGAATCTCAGAAAAGAATTTAATTCGTGTAGATAGATCTTTTAAAACACTTAAGAATTCATTTTAATTAAGAAACATGATCTACTTTGCGATCATGTTAACAGTGAGAAATGTAATCACAGAATTTAGCTAACATACTACATAATTATTCACCCCACACAGAATGAGGGTAAAGGCAAAAGAATTCATATGTTAAGCGAAAAATATGCATGGGAAAATTATAGCATTAACATTCTTAAACTTATCTTTTTTCCAGCTGAAGTGTTTCTCAGTAATTTAAAACCTAGAATTGGGCAATTTCTAGATAGGTGGGGTGGTGAGTGGGTAAGGCTAAGCGTCTATTGACTGGAAAACAGAAAGCAGCAGATTGATTAAAGATTATATACAAGTGGGAACAAATTTTTGGCTTTGGTATGCTATTGTTAAGAGATAGTCATTTATCTTTGTGCAGTGCTGAATAGATAAAGGATTCTGACAACTTGGTCTAGTCAGGATTGCATATTTGTGACCTTAAACAATAAATCTAATTGCAGACCAAACATCAAAAAGTAGCTTTCAAATAAAAAAGGGCATGTACAAATGAATTTGCAATTTCATTATGATGGAAGTTTGGTTCTTTCAGCAGAACCCTGTGGGAAGCACTTCATATTGATAAAGTCTTAGCCCGAATTCAAAAGGGGCCATTCTTCTTTCCATTCATGTGTATAAGGTCTGTTAATGTAATTGAGGGTCAGATGTCTGTGTCAAAAGAACAAAAAAGTAATTATTCCCCCCAAAAGAATCTTTAAAATAGTAATATGGCCCTGCATTTTGATACCAAGAGTATTGTCTGAGCCTTAGCCTATCCATGAAACGCTATCGTAATTTGAGTTAAATGTAAAAAGTATGGTATGCACAGAAAGATTTATACAGAACAGACCCCATTAGAAGGGGCCTCACTATTTAACAGATTCAGTTATTATAATGCAAATCAAATTACTTTCTGCATTCACGTCTTAAGGCTCACTGATTTCCTCAACAAATACTGACTGAATGCCTACTATGTGTAAGCACTAGTTTCAGTTCTAAGGAGGTAACAGCAGACAATAGAGAATCTCTGTTTCCATACAGCTGACATTCTGAGCCAGGGAAAGGTATGAGGAAACAAGTAAATATGTCTACTGGTGATAAGTGCTATGGCAAAACATGACGCAGGGGAAGAGGAGAAACAGATGTGGTCGGGCCTTCTTATCTTAGGTAGTGTAATCCAGAAGGGCCTCTCCAAGAAGGTGAAATTTGATGATGTGATCAGAAGCCTTACAGGATGGAGGGAAGAGTATCTGATTGAAGGAAGAGCAAGCACAAAGCTCCTGACTAGGAGTTTTCGTGGCACCGAAGGAGAACAGCAAAGTAGATTACTGTAGCTGGAACAAAAGAGGGGAGGGAAGCCGTGGTAGGAAAGGAGGTCACAGTCACAGTGGAGGAGGGAAGGAGTGGTCCAAAGTTCTTGGTAGGGCCCTTTAGGTATGGTAAAAAAAACAAAACAAAACCTTTGGATGGTTCTCAGCGGAAGAGTGACAAAGACCTGTCTTAAATATTAAGATAATCTTTGGCTGCTCATTAGAAAACAACCACAGGAAGGCAAGGTTAACAGCAGAGGTGAGGGGCGCCCGGGTGGCTCAGGCGGTTAAGTGTCTGCCTTCAGCTCAGGTCATGATCTCCAGGTCCTGGGATGGAGCCCAAACTCCCAGCTCAGCGGGGAGTCTGCTTCTCCTTCTCCCTCTGCCTCTCCCTCTGCTGGTGCTCTCTCTGTCTCTCTCTCTCTCAAATGAATAAAAACTTAAAAAAAAAACAAAACCCAGCAAAGAGGTGAATTAGGAGGGGAAAGACGATTGTGGCTTGACTAGGTCATTAAGTGGTAGAGATAGAGAAAAGTGGTAAGACTCCAAAGGTATTTCAAAAACAGAGTTGGTGGAATTCCTTGATGGTACAAGAGAAAGAGAAAATTTACAAATTATTAAAATATTTTTGATTTGAGCCAGCAAAGGATAAAACGTCCATTTACTGAAGTGAGGAAGACTATGGGAAGAACAGGTTTGAGGAGAAAATCAGTTTTATTTCGGACATGGTAAGTTTGAGATGACTGTTATCTACAAATGGAAACGTTGATGAAGCAAGTGGCTGTACAGGTTTGGGGGTCAAGGAAGAGGGGTGATTCATCTTTAAGTAGAACTTAAATCCATACTACAGTCATCTAGGAAATAAGTGCCAATAGAAAAAATACCCAAAGACTGAGTGTATTTTATTTCTCTATATTTTATAGTGCAGAAAATCTGTTCCATAGGGGGGGTAAAAAAACCAAAGTCATTTCTCTTCCTAATGAAACTGTTCTCTAATACAAAGTCTCATTTTTGAATGTGCATAGATATAATGCCTATAACTCATGTACACAGAGACTTTTCTGTTAGTTAGCCTATAAATGGCATAAATATCTAGTATGACTCAATCGTATACGGTTATTGAATCTCTACATTTGCAAGGTTATGTGCAAGGTTCAGGAAAGAGGAGGAGGAAAAAGTGCAGCACCATATCAAACAACTTAGGTGATACACAACTTTAATTAGGTTCAGGCTGGAATTATACACTGTGGAGAATAAAGTATAAAGTTTAATACTGTTATTAGAATAATATACTTGGTCAAATGCCAATGAGAGGGGGAACCCACAAACACAATTTTTTTTTAAATTGTAAGTGTAAATGATAGTTAAAAAAAACAATTCTGCCCACAAAGAGTCTTTGTCTCACACTTAATTTCCATGAAATTATTTCCAGGAGATACTTTTATTTTTATTACCAAATTACACCAGCAGATGTCACTAGCAAACCATTTTTTGAAGAGTTTGTAGCTCTGTGAAGTGATTATCATTTTTTTGCATGTTTTCCCTTAAAAATACATTTACTGACACTTGAAATGTTGTTAATCTTAGTTACATTGCATGAAATTCCCACAAGTAAATATCATCATATTAGACTTTTAATTACAGCTGATGTTCTATTCCTATCATTCTATACAGTTATGAAATCTTTAAGAACACCCTACGATTTGACACCAACATAAAATCTGATATGTACATGTGCTATATCATTATGGTCTCTATTAAGCTGAAAACAATGAAAACTATTTTGTTTCCCACTTTTTTTATTTGGTAAACATAATGGGATATAAAAGATGTAGTACTCAATAAATCTTTAAAATATTTCTTGAAGGCAGTGCATGCTACAGTGGAAAAGACTCTTGATTTGAATGATTTGAATGATTCACAGTCATAACTTCACTACCAATCTGGAGTAACTCATTTAACTTTAGGGCTCAATTTTGTTGTCTTTGTTAAACAAGAACCTGGAAGTAAATTACCTTCATAATTGACTGATTGAATGTCTTCGAATTCTGAAATTCTACCAATTATTTTATCATTTTATTTACTGCTAGTGTTATTAGAAATCACAATAGAAAAATAGAATGAATTATTCTAAGTCATTAGAAAATTCTAATCGAAAAATTAGAAATCACAATAGAAAAATAAAATGAATTATTCTGTCACTAGTAACATAAACAAAAAATTGATCTCACCAGCATCGAGAATAAAAAATTTTTTAAAAACCATACAACCCCCCCCCCGAATTAGCCTTGAGATTACTGGCCTGCTACTAATATTATTACATTTGCTTATTGTTTTGTAATACTTACTGATATGGAACTTATTCCTGCAAAGGTTCAAAGGGAACCTTTTCTTTTTTAACTTTAAGATT